CAGGTGGAGGGCTGTGCAGAGACACATAAGCAATCAGACAGACAGACCACAGCATTCAGGCACAGCATCTGTTTTATCTAGCTTTTTCTCACATGGAAGCTGAGAAAACACCTCCCTTGAAGGGTGTTGTTAAAGAAACAAAACTGTGTAAAGGCCTCTGGTGCCATCCCTGGAGTGTCTGGTTACACACATTTGAAAGAGTGAGTGACCTTCTGAGGTCACCAGGGTCATCATCCCTCTAGACACCAGAGCAAGTGGCTGGTGTTCGTTTTGTCCTGCTTTTATCAGGGTCTCAAGTCGATAAGGCTAGCCTGGAGTCCTGATCTTCCTGGCCTCACTTCACAGTCACTAGACTTCTGTTGTTTTGTTTTTGTTTTTTCAAGACAGGGTTTCTCTGTGTAGCCCTGGCTGTCCTGGAACTCACCAGGTTGGCCTCGAACTCAGAGATTCACCTGCCTTTGCTGGGATTAAAGGCATATGCCACCACTGCCAGGTGACTTTTTTTTTTTTTTTATAAGCCCTCCAAGGATGTCTGGTTTCAAATACTCCAGCACTTGAGCCCCATGTAACAACCTGCCTCTGTCGGCTCACTTCTTGTGTCCAAACTCTCTTCTGCCCCAGAATTCGCTCAGTCTGCCCTGGTGAATCCATTGCAGGATCCACTAAGGAAAACACCCATCCTCCCCCAAGCCTTTCTTCCCAAGCAACACTTCTCTTTATTTCCCTCTTTCCCGGGGCTCTCAGTCTCTGAACTCTCAACTGATGTCTCTACAGAAGCCCTTGAGAGAATAAAAAATCAGATATCCAAGCTCCAGTAAGAGGCAAAGGGAGATGAGGGAAGGGGAGGAGGGGGAACAGGGAACAACTGGTCATCCTGTTGTGTGAAAACAAAGAAATAGCATCTTAAGCTCTTAGACATTGTTTTGGGTTTTGACCTGCTCGTGGGTGGAAAAGTGGGGAGCAGAGGATTTGACGCTCGCACGTGTGCTGCGGAAGTACCTGCAGGAGCCGTCAGGGGCACAGCAGCCGTGGGCCAGGTCACAGTGGGAGCTGCAGTCATCCGCTGAAAGAGATTGGTGGAGTAGGCGTGAGTCTGGGTCAGGGTCTGGCTTCCTGGGACGCGGGACTTGGCAGACGTTCGCGTAGTTAGATGGACTCAAGCTTTGGGCTTGGCAATACCGACGAGAGTCCTATTCCTAGGGATCACCCAGGACTCGCCGGCCGGATGGAATGGGGCGGCTGCAGTGCCGTCTCTAGCCGGCAGAGGTCAACGTGCCAGCGAGGACCCTGAACAGGGCCGCGACCCGATCCCTGGGGCGCGCTCACCTCTGGCAGGCTGGCTGGTTGCCCCCAGGATGCACAGCAGGCACATGAGATGTAGGCGGCGGCAGCCGCTGGGCATGGTCAGTTCCGGCCCCAGGAGGGACGGACAGATGAACGGCCAGACGTGTGGACACCTGTGGGATGGCACTGGCTAGGAGGCGGCCGGACGCTGAGATAGCGGCACTGAGACCGGTTCCAAGTGACAGGAGCCGGAGAAGGAGAGGGACTCAACGATTGAAGACCAGGGTGGGGAGCGAAAGGGTGGAGGCGAGGAAGGGATGAGCGGGAGAAGGGACTGGAGACAGGAACCCATTAGGCAGTTCTGCGGGAAAGAGGCCAAGGATGGGTAGCGGCGAGCGTGGCCACGGCGCGGGAATGACCAGGGCTGGGATCACGGTCCAGGTGGAGGGGTCCGCAGGGATGGGGACAGCGCTGAGAGGCAAGCGCGACAGGACCTGAGGGCCCGGGGAAGGAGGACCGGCTCCCAGTTCCCGGCCGCAAGCGGTCTCCACCCGGGTCCTCCGACACCCACCCACCCAGGCCTGGCTCTCACCCCCACCCCGGCTCGCTCCGCCGCGCTTGGGCCTGGGGTCCCCTCCACGCGTCCGTGTCCTCCTGGTTTCTCACCTCCGGCTGGGAGGCGACGCGTCCCCAGGGCGCAGAGTCAAGCGGGATCCGACGGGCTGGGCCGGGGGGCCGCCCCTAGCTGGCCGCGGGGCTCGGCGCCGAGGTGGCTGCCATGCCAGCCGAGCGCTCGGGAATCTGGGGCTGCAGGCGACCCCGAGCGGCGGCGGCGGCTCCTCGCGCGCGCTCGGCCCCCTGCCAGGGGCGGCGTGTGCCTAGAAAAAAAGATGGTTGGGAATCTGGACCCGGCACACTACCACAGTGGGCTTTTTGTCCTGAAGTGCCCTTGTGTGGGTCTGACCCTCAGTCTCCTGCTCCACTGACAGTCCTGCCCTTTTCCTCACTCCCGCAGGATCCCAGCACTCACCCTGCCTGCTCACAGGGTCCGGCCTTGCGCTCACAGCCAC